CTGTGTCTGTGGGCTTTATAAACACATATGGGGTGTGTGTGTGTGTGTGTGTGTGTGTGTGTGTGTGTGTGTGTGATGCCCCAAATCCCAACAGGATAAAGAAATGGGGGAGAAGGGATTACGGCATGACCACACCGCTTCTGGAGATGCTTTCTCCATCTCCCTCTCCCTCTCTTCCTGGTGAGCGTACATGCTGTCTGGCAAATAAAAAGAAATGAAGGAAGGAAATGTCTACTCAAGGTAGGTTTCTGAACACCTTGAAAGAAACCAGAGGGTACAGGCATTCTAAATGAGAACCTCTAACCTAGGACCTAGGACACCCAGAGTCTCAAGCAGGGAGGTCGTGCTTTCTGCTCCTTCATTTTACAGACATTTTCCATGGCCGCCTACTTATTCCCCATGCTCTGAACCAACATTGCAGCACCACCCTGAACAGAGCCATGGCCACCTAGGAAGGTACATCAGGCTAGGGGGAGGAGGGAAGAGCCACACAGTTGCATCAAAGCATTAAGAAAATTCTGTAACAGAGACTCAAATTTTCAAATTCTAGTTTGTGTACACAGTTTTGGCAAGTGCTGCAATATGCACCCACATCTACCTGATGGGTCCCCTCCTTCTGCACTGGACTCCAAAATGAAGGGGCTGCTTGGGCAGAATGCCAACCAATTTTATCCTTGTTTTTCAGTCTACCAAAGTTCACTGCAGTTACATCAGTTATGCTCAATGTGGTGTGTAAGGAAAAGATACGAGAATCCAGTGACAAGACCATGAAATCCCTATAACCCTTTTCCTTTCCAGCTCAGGCAAAAATAGGTTTTTCTAAATGCACTGAGTCTCCTTTTGTTAAATAAACATTTACAAAGCACCTGCTGTTCACCCAAGCACAGCAATAGGAAGCTACTTCATCTCTAAGCAGAATATTTGTATCCTCTAAGATGGTAACAATAAAAACAATTGCACAACATGTAAAAATAGGTATACAATGTGCATACAGGGTCACAAAATTGTTCAGCCGGAGAGCACACAGCACAGCCACCTATGCCTGGGATTCCTTCAAAATCAGGATGGCCTGTTGCATTTGAGTTATGGGACTGTGACATCATCTTATTCTATATTCTTATTTTATGGAGCATTGCTATAATGTCCTTGCAATATATAAAAAAATATATTTTATTTTGCTTTGTACAGGATATCCGATTTCCACCATATCAAATAACAAATCCCAGAAAATAATCTTAATTTGCTTGGTCCTCACACTTTCTTATCCTCCTCTCCAAAGCTGTTTTCCAGTTTTCTAAGATAATCTAGCTTTGCAAGGACGAGTCATAAAAATTCTCACTTTTCCCAGAGGATTTCAGTTGTTGTTTTAATCCTGTTTTCAAAAGAATGATAGACCTTCTGTCGACCCATTTTCTGCAGAGTAGAAACAAGGTCATCTAAAGGCCGGCCACTTGTGATGTCATAATGAACTCAAGAGAGGGACTGGACAGTGGTACAGCAGTAACACAGCATTCTGTGAAGTTGACTCACATGGGAAGGTTCTGGGTTTTCTCCTGGAGAGCTCTCTGAACATGAAAGGCACATGCTTGCCCATGATCTAGAGCTGGCAGGGGCATAAGGACCTCGTCGGGGGTGCCTGTCTCTCTGAATCTCTCTGTCTCTCTTGCTCAAGGAAGAAAGAAAGAATTAAACTTAATTTTGAAAATTAAATTTTAACTCAAAAGAAGCATCCTTTGCTGGGTCGTGTTACACAGGTAACTCTTTCACAAAGGGTTCCCATGTAGCAGACAAGCTCACCAGGAGATCCTTTCCCTTTAATAAGCTAGAGCATGAAAATATGTGTGTAAACACCATGATGTCCATGGGGTATATTTAATATTGTAGTTTTGGGCATTTTTAAAAAGTATATGTGTGTGTGTGTGTGTGTGTGTATACATACATATATATATATATAATCAAGGCACTCACTTTTAATATAATATTGTCAGAGGGCACATGAGGTTGTCAGAGACAGAGAGAAAGGGAAAAAGAGAGGAAAAACACCCTCAGTGGGGTATAGTCACATCACGATCTCTTCTCTTCCACTTCTCCATTCTGTTGGGACTTTGGACACGCATACATGTGTGTCTGGTGTGTTTTTGAAGCCTCTGGGGCTGGGATTCAAATTGCATTTGGCTACGTGGGATCTGGCTCTTTTAGCCACCGGACTACAGGGCCAGTCCAATACTGTAAACTTTATAATTGGATCTACAAATAAAACTTTTCTAAAATGTTCTTCAATGGTCTAAAAAACCCAAATATCTCCTAAAAGAGAGGTTCTTTTTGGAACCTTGATCTCCCTTCCTTTAACATCCTCCCATTTCAGGAGTCATTTGGATTTTCACTTGGGTCATTTTTTAGCTAAAGAAAAAAGATGGGCTTAATGGATTAAATTGGAGAAGACTGGAAAGTTAGAGATGTTTCCTGTGACATCTCTGTTACTTACCCTCAAAGGACCTGAGCAACCCCCAGGCTACTGCCAGGCTTTTTCAGAGTATGATTAACTAAAAGAGCTAAGGATAAACTGGATGTGCATTTTTGTTCTATTTTCATAACCAAGCGCTCTGCATCTTCACAAATTGCTGATGCATACAAGCAATTTTAGTTCAAATCTCAACTGACAAATTTTATTTCTTTGGACGTCACAAACATTGCATTACTATCCATAAAGGACTCTGAGAACATCCTTAGAGCTCTTTGAAGTTTGCATTAAGAGTCTTGAAAAATCCCTATGTGTCCAGAGCAAAAGGGATTAAAACATATCCCCTCCCCTCTGTCCTGGAAAGCCGTGCTGGGCATGGCCACCCATCACCCTCTGGTTCTGAGCCAACCTTGAGACTCTCCTTTCAGGATGGACTACCTGGGTGCTCCGTCACTCTGCCCAACGGAATATATGATATGTGTTCCTTCGTAGCAAACCCACTTTCTGTCCTGAGCTGTCAGCTTTCTGAAGTCTGGACTGGCTTGCATGTGTACCTGGACACTGTGCAAGAGAAGGACCACAGGCACCCTTAAGGAAAAAAGCCATTGGACTTCTCACATTATTGGAATCCATCAGATGCAGAGTTCCATTCCCACTCAATGTCACTCCTTCACCTCCCAGGCTAAAGAATTATTAGATAGTCTGATAGTTGAGCTTTCTCAGAAATCTTAATTAGCACAGACACCACCCTCGCAAGTGCTAGCACCTCTTCTTCAGGGTCACTTTGGTGAATTTGTGACACAAAACCCTCTTGATCTGACGTGGCTGTTTGGAATGTATTATAGGCGCTATCACTGAGGTACAGTGATGAAAAGGTAAGCTGTGTGAAAATTGTCTGAGCCATGAGAGGCATTCACTACTCTGTAATATACAAGCACCAACAGGCAGAGAGAGACACTGTCTGGAGGCAAGAATTGGAAAGGCCCCATTTTCAAAGTAATGATAGGCAGGAGGACTGATTCTTTGAAAGCACATTCATAGACTCACAAGAGTACAATGCTGTGTTTTAGTAAAAAAGAATTCTGACTTAACCCCTAAAAAGAGCAGTAGAATACAACAGACATGATCCTTACAAGTATGAGTGACAGAGCCATCAAAATAATAAAGACGCGTGTGAGTGAGATCCCTAACCAAATTGACATATTTCCATTTGTAGTGACATGACTCAAAATATAAGGACATAAAAACAACAGATAATACTCTCAACTCCTGAGACGTCCATCTTAAATAAAATAAGGAATAAGCAAGGAAGAGCATGGTATAGCAGGAAAAGCCAGGTTTTCAGCTAAGCAGAATTCATCTCTCTGGGCCCTGGTTTTCTCCATGGTAAATTAGGAATATTAGCACTTACCTTGCAGGGCTGCATGAAACAAGATCACATGAAAAGTACCTACACGTGGTCTCTCAAAAATGGCAGCTACTCTTGGTCCTAGCAGATTAGCATTTTTGGATGTAAGCAGATGGTATCATTCAGTATCCTAAATAAAGGTAAGCCAGTGCCGAGGGCAAAGGGTTGGAAAAACAGGGCTGTCAGAAGGGGCAGCAGCTGATCCTAAACCCAAAATCACTCTCTGTTTACACAAGGTAAGGCACCCTGGGTGACCTCAGCAGCTGAAGCACAGCTCTGGGCCCTACACAGTGGGGCCAGTTCCCAACCCTGAGTCGAGTGAATCTAGGGGCCAACTGTCCAGGCCACACACATGCTTTAGAGCCCTGAGCATCTATGAAGTGTAAACACTGTGCTTGATACCTGGCACAAAGGATTGAGATATTTACATATCATACAGTTAAAGGGGGAAGGATGCCAGATTCCTTATTTAGAAAATCAGATAGAGAAATGCAATTCATGTTTGACAAGTTAAGACACCAAAATGCTGTAGGAATGCAAAGATCTTTAAGCAGTATGCCCAGAGCTTACGGCCAAAGTAAAAGCAGTCTGCTCAAAGCAGGAGCTATGTGAGGTCAGACCCTGACTCCACTGATGTTGAAATTGCTGGAAATATTTTCCTATTTCTTCTCTGGAATTACCTCTGGACTATTTTTAAACATTTTCAGGAGAGCAGCTTTTATTTCTGTAAAGGGTAATTTAATTTTTATAATCCAAAAACACGTAAGAGTCTAGCCTGCTAAGGCTGGGTATTATTACTGTGAGTTCAAACAAGGTACGGTTTTGAAGCCATAAGATTTGCTAGAGGGCGCATGAGGTCACCAGAGAGAGACAGAGAGATGCACATAGAGAGAGAGAAAGCAGCTCCAATATGGCACAGTCATGCCACAATCCTTTCTCCTCCTTCTCCATCCCATCAAGATTTCACGGACACGCACGTGCTCAGAATGTTTTTCAAGCCACTAGGGCTGGGATTCAAATGATAGTTGGCCATGTAGCTCCCTTAACCATTAGGCCATAGGGCTAGCCCAAGACTGATTTTCTTGAGAGACGGGAATATTTATGACTGTATAACCCTTACAGAGAGTGCTTCGAAGATGGCATTTGTGAACAATCTTATTTGTTACAGCAATGAGATACCATAAGATCCCTATCAGTAAGACTAAATAAAAAAATAGTGACATCATCAGCTGCTGGCAAGATGCAGAGACACTGGATCACTCAACTTTGCTAGTAGGAATGTAAACTGATATGGCCACGATGAACTAGAGAATGGCAAAACTGAATATGTGCTCGTTATCCACGTCCACACAAAATCTGCACATGAATGTTCATAGCAGCTTTACTCGTAGCCCGAAATAGGAAACAACGCAGTGATCCTTCAATAAGCAAATGGTTAACTAACTATCGGATAGCCATACCAGGGAACACTACTCAGTCTTGATGCGTGCAACAGCATGACTAGATCTCAAGGCAATCATGCTGAGTGAAAGAAGCCATGTATGTATGCAGCATTTCTGAAATGATTGAGTTACAGAAATGGAGGCAGTGAGGTAGTTGGCATTAGTCAGGGTGAGTGAAGTCAAGGAGGTGACAACAGCTATGGAACAGTGGCCCAAGGTGTCCTGGTACTGGACCTCGACTATGGTAGATGTCACATGAATCAACATGTGCCAAAACTGCACAGAACTAAACAAAAATCACACTTGAGTTCACGTAAAACTTGTGAAATCTGAACACAGACAATGGATTTTATCAACGTGGTGATACTATACAACAGTTATACCAAGCATTACCATTGTGGGAAACTGGGTGAAGGGTACACAAATATCTCCACATTATTTCTTTTCTTTTTCTTCATTTCATTTTTTTAGGTTTAGTCACAGGGTGAGTATACTCAGCAGAGACAGAGAGAAGGAAAGTGAGAAATCACCCCCAGGGACGGGGGTGAGGGATAGCCACATTGCAATCCCTTCTCCTCCATTCTCTTCTTGGGATTTGGGCACACACACACACACACACACACACACACACACACATACCCTGTGTGATTTTCAAGCCACTGGATCCAGGACTCAAACAGTGGTCAACCATATGGCTGTCCGGTGCCCTAACTACCACACACTAGCTGGCTCGATGCATTGTTCTTAAAAATGCATCTGAATCTACAATTATGCTGCAAAAAAAGAATTGCTGTTATTGTTTTTAATTCTCAATTGTTCTAATAAACCTATCTTTACTCTCTATCTCCTTACACTGACTGATGTTATTTTTTTTAAAGCACTTATATCACCAAACATCAGACACGTTTATCCATTTACTCTTTGATCCCACCTGTCCGCTCCAATATACAAACTCTATAAGGGTAGAGGCTATTCTGTTCATCCTGCCTTCCTGGTGCCTAGAACACACCTGGCATGTAACTGGTGCAAAGTACATCTTCATGGCATAAGCAAATAAATATGAACTACAGGCTAAATGAAGAATGGATGTGCACTCCTCACAGTGCTCTACAGCACTTGCGACGTTTCTGAAAGCTCTAAAACGTAAATGAGATGATTCGTTCAGCATTTTGCACATTTTCTAACTCCAAGCATTATGGCTCTCAGTGCCGGAACATTTCTTTATAGTGACAGAATTGTAACTTAGCTTCCCAAGAATATAATGCCTTCTTTGCTTTCAGCCTCCAGAGATTCTACCTTTCCTTCCAAAGGTGAAAGTATGGGCTGAATGAAATAATTACATACAAGAATGGGCTTCATCTCAGATTCCATAAGTTCATGGCCGGCTTCATGGCACTTTATAAACTTAGGAGAAAAATACATAACATTAACAAAATAAAATGTTATATTTAATCATGTATCATCAGTTAAAGTTAAATAATCACTTCTTTTGGGGGGGGGTCAAAAGCCTTATCCAATGAAGCTGAGTTTGTTCTAAGAAATCAATTAAATGATTGTCAATGCTAAGTGGAGGCCAGAAACTTGAAGTGAATTGTGAGCCAAACAAAAGAACAAATTGCACTAATTTACTGGATCTGAAACCAAACCTGAACACGAGCTGTTTACTGAAATGTGAACCCACAGAAGCTTGAGAATACTTTCCAAACACACCTGAAGATTCAGTCTAATGAAGTAACTGAGCCAATATATACTTAAAAGCTTTTGAACAGGCTCAAAAACTCAAATAATACAACAAATCAAAGACCCAACTTGAATGAAATGAATATTCCTGTACAGTGAATTGACTAAAGGCGTAGCAGAAAGGTGATTGCACACCCTGTTTTCCAAGTCAGCGTTATACTAATGGTGAGTTTTAAAACAATCAAACCAGCAATTTTTGAAAAAATGAAGAATATAAGATCCTTTTAATATGTGTGTTTTTTATAGAAGCAGGAAAAAGGAAGTTGGGTTCAGAATTAGAATAGAATAGGAGAGGATATAGGGGGATGATGGGAGTGGCTGCCTAGACATGGGAAACCCAACCACTCTGGAGACTCCATTTTAACACAAGGAAGAGACTTACAGTCATGGGATAATCCTAACACCATTACTGCAAAAAATACTGCTTCACAAATGGATACCACCTACTCAGAATAAAAGTCCTGGAACACTGAATCCAGAGATGCAGGTACATTACCTGTGGAGAGCTGGGTGGGGAGGGGGTTCATTTCTTTGTCCACCATCTTCTGGTACAAAGCTCGCAAGCTGAAAGGTTCCACTGTGAAAGGCAGCGTCCCAGTCAACATGGCATACATGTTCACACCTCTGAAAAGAGAGACACCAAAGCATGAGACCAGAGCAAGACCCCAGGGAGGAGCAGGCAAAGAGGAATGGGCTTAGCCAAAGCTTCTGTGCTGTCACTTTCATGCTGATCTCAACAGGCCTTGTTCACAGCCAACTTTCTAGACTTGCGGCATCACACTGAAGTAATGGCATTGAAAGGTTTGGGTGGCAACCCAACTGTGATGACATGGACAAAGGCTACAGAGGGCTATCTGGCTCTCCCCTAAGAAGTGGAAACCATGTCTCTGTCTTCTCTCCAACTGGTAGAGTAAGAAGTCAATAGCAAGGAAATCTGGGCCAAATTATGTGAAAAGAGTCTACAAGGTGTTAGGTACCTCAATAAGTAGTATTGCTATAAGTGGTTTTCCAAGCATGGCCTACAAGGCAGAACTGGAGAGGCCAGACCAATCAGTGCAATAGTTCTCCCTTATCCCTGGTTTTGCTTCTTTGCTTTCAGGTAACCCACAATTATGGTTTGAAAAAATTAAATAGAAAATTCCAGAAATAAATCATTCCTATTTGAGACTGTGTGCCATTCTGTGCAGCATGATGAAATCAAATGCTATCTCACTCAATCCCACGTGGAAATCACCCTGTGTCCAGCATTATCTATGCTGCATACACCATCCACATGTTAATCACTTAGTAGCCATTTGGATTAAAAGATGGACTGTCATGGTACCCCACGTCCAGTGTTCAAGCAATCATTTTTTTACTTAGCAAAGGTCTCAAACATCTAAGAGTAGTGATGCTGGCATAGTTTTAAAAATTAATTTTGCCACAGGGCACATATGTTCACCAGAGAGGTAGGGAAGAGAGAGAAACCATCCCTGTGGGCCACAGTGATGCCGTAATTCCTTCTCCATCTCTCTGTCCTGTCAGGATTTTGGGCATGCGTGCGCAAGCTCCTGATGTGGGGTTTTTTTTTTCCTTCAAGTTGCCAGGTCTAGGACTTGACCACACTGTCAGCCATGTGGGATCCAGCCACCTTAACCTTACCACACCACCAGCTGGCACACTCTTAAAACTGTTCTATTTTATCCTTAGTTGCTGTTGTTCATCTTATTTGTGCTTTATTTATAAATTAAACATTACTATTACTATGGGTATATGTATATAAGAAAAAACACTATGCTGTACAGGATTAGGTATTCTCTGCAGTTTCACTTAAAATGTCTTTGAACATGTCTCTCAAGGATAAGGGGTAGGGTGAGGGGTAACTGTCCAGGGCAAGACCCCTCAGGGAGCCCCAGTCACAGCCTACTAACCAGTGTGCCAGGTTACTCAGCCCTTTGAAATGAAAGCCACATTCTGAAAACTGGTGTTTTGTTCTTCTTTTGAATTTTGCTTGGCTTAAAACTAAAGAAATCACTTATGGAGGTCTTCCCACCCCTATTTTATATTTTATTGTTTATTGTGAGACTGCCACCCGGCCCTGGCCCAATTCTCAGATGTGGTTGAAATACCTTCTGAGTGGGCTTAACTGCTTATATCCAAAGCCAATCTAGAGAACAGCACCATCTTCTCAGAGGATTTTATTTTCTTCATGTGCAAACCTAATATCATTTTGATGAGATTTCCTGATGGGGATGAAATGCCTGCCTGCCAAGAGGTCTCAAGTGTTCAAAAGTGCCCAGGGGGATATGTTTTAAAAACAGGCAACAGGATTTCCAGTCAAAACAAATCCAAGGAGACTGATTGAAATTAAGACCTTTGAGGCCCAGTTCCACTGAGGCGCCTCTGAATTATGGCATTCCAGTTAATGACAGGTACTGGAGCCCATGGACTCCAGTTAGAAACCATTCTCAAATTTCAGACAGATGCTAAGACCCATTTACATTCTACACTCACAGTGGAGTTAGGGAGACAGAAACATAAACAATGATTCCACAAATACTTGCTGGATGGCTCTCTGCCCCAGCCAGGTTATAGGTGCTGGGTACTGATGAGCCAGACAAGGGCCCACCATCTTGGATTTACAACGGAAGAGAGACAGGGAATCAACAAGTAAACAAATAAATAAGGCAATCCTCTCAAGTGGTGACGAGTGCAAAGGGAATAAGAAAATGTTGAACTGAACTGCTTTTGACCACAAGAAGGGTTCAATGAAGGAATGTAGAGGAATTAAAAATAAGTACATAAAGGAGTCAGCAGGCGGTGTTAAGGTGCTGGACTCCCACAGAGTCGACCGCAATTCAAGCCTCTGACCTGGTGGCTTGAAAATCACGCCAGACACGTGTGTGTGTGTGCCCAAAATCCCGAGAGGAGAATGGAGAAGGAATTATGGTGTGTGTGTGTGGGGGGGTGATTTCTCACTTTCCCTCTTTCTCTGTCTCTCTCTGGCAAGCACATGCACCCTATAGCAAAATAAATAAATAAATAAATGAAGTACATAAAGAAGGGAGGTCTCTCACGTGGTGAGTTCGTGTGGGGGATGATATACATAGCTGGCCTGATGTGAAGGTGCGGGGATCAAATGCATAAATCAAGACATGAAGACAAGCGTGAATAAGGCTTATGGAGAGTCACCTAGAGCAGCGTGTGTTTAGTGGGACACAGTCCCCAGGATATGACGGAGATGGAAGGTGAATAAGGCCACATGATTGAAGGAGTAGCCATCTTGTGTAAGAAGATTAAAGGGGCTCAGAGTGGGAAGCAAGAAACTAGCAATAAATCCAGCATGTTGCTATTAAGGTCTGAATGGGAGTGATGCATGCGGTGGAAAGAGAAAGGTATACTTGAAGAGGATACAAGCGGCCAACTTGAAAGGCTGGGTCAATGGAGGGAATAGTGAGAGGACTGAGGAAGCTGGGAAGCAGAGGCAGTATGGGGGCGAAGGAAAGCAATATGAAAAGAACCTACTGCAAGAACCTACCATGGATGCAATGCTTCATTTTAGACATGCTTGAGGTATAGCTAGACAGCCTTGCTTGGAGGGTTCCTAGAGCTCAATAAGAGGAAAAGCTAAGAGGTCCCCAAAACGGTAGAGTTCCTGCATATACAACTTGGGACCAGGGTCTCTCTAGATTGAAACTCCTAAGCCAACTCACAGCATTCGGGGTGATTTTATGCATGAGGAAAGGCTCCCCCTTACTAATCCAAAACGTACATCTTCTACCCATTAGCTGTAGAACAAACCATTTGCTCTTCCATGGTCAGCACTGTACACATTTGAAACTGGAACCAGGACTTTCCTACCCTTCTGGGTCTTCTCCAGATCGAGGACTCCAAGCTCTTTGCCCATGTTTAATGTGACGTGGTTTGTAGGCTCCCGCAGCAGCCTGGCTCTCTGCCCTGTACACACACCAACTGTCTCATGTAGTGAAGTTCAGTGAATAAGGCTACAGAATTGAAGGAGTAGTTTTACAGTTTTCACACTACATAACTAAGACTTACTATTTACTTTTCATTTAAATTTTTATTGCCAGAGGACCTATGTGCTTGCTAGAGACAGAGACAGAGAGAGAAAGCACCCCCTAATGGGGCATAGTCACACCACGATCTTTTCTCTTCCACTTCTCCATCCTCTTAGGACTTTGGGCATTCACACATATGCGCCTGCTGTGTTTTTTCAAACTGCTGGGGCTGGACTCCAACCATGATTGGTTATGTGGGATCTGGCTCCCATAACCACTGGGCTATGGGGTTAGCCTAGGGACCTACAGACTTAATATTTCAGCAGAATCAGAGTGGTTTGAGCTCAAGGGGCAGGGGTGGACAAAGGATTTTCTCTGCCTAACCTTGGCTCTAACATTCATATCTAAAGATGAAGAGCCTAGTACTTACAGAACATCATCTTTTTTTCTCAGATAAGTATTTTGTAATGTCCAATTTATACACCGTTTCTCACACTTGGGTACACAGACACATTCTCAGGGATGTGAACAGCAGCTCTCTTTTGCTTCTCTTCTCCCCTCGTCCCCTTCTATCCTCTTCTCTTCTCTTTTGCCAGAGGGTAGGTGTGTGTGTGCACAAGACAGAGGAAGGGAGAAAGCACCTCTCAATGGGCCTGATTATACTGAAATCCTTTTTTATTCCATTTCCCCATTCCTCCAGGATCCTGGGCAGGTATGCACACGTCTGGCATGCTTTTCTAGTCGTCAGCCTGAGGTTCGAACCTCAGTGGGCTCCCTTTGCACAGAACTTAACCACTGAACTGCGGGGCCAGCTTTGATTTTCTTTTTGATGTTCTACTACAATTTTCTGCAAAGTATGACTAGGACCATTAGGATAAGCTTAGCTAATTGGGAGGCTAAAGCAGAAGGATTATGGCATGGTAAGATCCTGTTGAAAAACATGTTTTTCTCTTCCTTTCTCTTCCTCTCTCTCATAAAACAAACAACTAAACAAAAATAGCCTAAGTAACATATAGGATAGTCAAGAATGCTTTTCTGGGACCAGCAGTTAGCGTAATGACTATGTCGCTGGACTCCCACGTAATCAACCATGGTTCGAGTCCCGGACCCGGTGGCTTAAACTCACGCCGAGCGTGTGTGCGTGTGTGCCCAAGATCCCGAGAGGAGAATGGAGAAGAAGGGATTGCAGCGTGGCCATCCCCCCTGGGGGGTGATTTCTCACTTTCTGTCTCTCTGTCTCTCTCTGTCTGTCTGGCGAGTGCACGCGCCCTATAGCAAAAAAGCTCTCAAAAAAAAAAAAAAAAAGAATGCTTATCTGTAAAAGAACAGTTTGAAAGATAATGCTCTATGCTCTATCACATTTTATGTTCCTTTTCATCTTTTTTAAACTTTATTTATTTACGTATCTTAATTTGACCAAAGAAGGACAGAGCAAGAGAGAAAGAGAGAGGGAAAGTGAGAAAGCAAGCCACCAGGTCCTGGGCTTAAACCATGGTTGGCCATGTGAGAGTCCAGCGCCCTTAACCACCACATCACCTGCTGTGTTCCACCTTCGGGGAACACAGAGCTTTCTGTTATAGGTAGACTGCATCAAACAGTGCAGAGTCCTCTAGGAAGTAGGACATT